GCATTTATTATCTGTTTAGAAATAACTGCTTTGGGCTATCAGTGGAGGATAGTCTTGATTGTTGTAGACATTGCATGATGATTAGGTGAATTGAAACTAATCAAGTTGTGTATTTGAATACATGGGTGCCAAATCCTGCGGATGAAATTTTCGTAAAATGGCCATTTGAATATAATTATACATGGGTACCGAATCCCGCGGACGCAATTTCCGTAAAATGGCAATCCGAAAACATCTATACATGGGTGCCGAGTCCCGCGGATGAAATATCTGTAAAATGGCCATAAGATAATGAAAATACATGGGTGTCGAATCCCGCGGACGCAATTTCCGTAAAATGGCAAGTTGTAGTACTGTTGGCATGAGATGTAGTCTTACTTCAGTTATTTGGCCAGGTTCTGAGCCATGTTTATAAGTTGAGCTTTGTTAAGTTAAATATATATCAAGTGCTAATGTTTTAGTTATTGCTCATGTTATGTTTAGCACATCTCTACTGGGCGTTGGATCACCCTATATGGGGCATTATTTTCAGGTACAGGTAGTATGCCGCCTCTGAGGCCTTAGCTTGGATGGCAGTGGAAGTCGAAGACTCTTTTTGTTTTATTTTGTTGTATTACATGTATATCAAACCAAGGGCTTATTTTGTGTAAAGTTAGTACTCTCCTTTTGTAACCAAGTGTTGACTTGGAAAGTTGTAAGCCTATAGGGCATTTACTTTTGTTGTCAACATGTAATACATTTTGTAAAGAATACTCTGATTTATGAAATTATGCTTTATTTTCTTTCGTCTAAGCATGTCAAGAATGTATGATTTATGGGTTTATTTTGAGGGCGTTACAGGGTGAGCCCCACACAAGTGGTGTCAAAGAAATCGGGCATCACTGTTATTGAGAATGAGGAAGGAGAGTTAGTCCCCACATGAACCACCACCGAGTGGCGAGTGTGCATTGATTATCGTAGGCTCAATTCCATGACTAGGAAGGATCCATTTCCCTTACCTTTTATTGATCAGATCTTAGAGCGATTAGAATAGCAGAGCTACTATTTCTTCCTTGATAGCTATTTTGGTTACAATAAAGTTCCTGTGTATCCTAATGACCAGGAAAAAACTACTTTCACATGTCCTTTTGGCACTTTTGCTTATCGCCGAATGCGCTTTGGGCTTTGTAATGCACTAGCGACATTTCAACGGTGCATGATGGCTATCTTCTCTGACATAGTGGAGAATTTCTTAGAGGTCTTCATGGGTAACTTCTCTGTGTTTGGGCCGTCTTTTGAGGAATATCTCCAAAACTTAACTAAAGTCCTTACTCGTTGTGTGGAGACAAACCTTGTTTTGAGTTAGGAGAAGAGCCATTTTATGATTTGGGAGGGTATTGTGTTGGGACACATTGTGTCTCCCCGTGGTATAGAGGTCGATAAAGCTAAGGTCAACTTGATCTTTGGTTTGCCCCCGCCTACTTTTGTGCACCAAGTGCGCTCATTCTTAGGGCACGCGGGTTTTTATTGCCGATTTATCAAAGACTTTAGTAAGATCTCACACCCCTTGTGCACTCTATTGGATAAGGATGCATTATTTTTCTTTGACAAAGCATGTTTGGTGGCATTCGAAACACTTCGAGCTGCACTTTTACTGCCCCCATCATGCAATCCCTTGAGTGGTCCCTTCCTTTCAAGATTATGTGTAATGCATCTAATTATGCCCTCGGTGCCGTCTTGGGCCAAAGGGTGAATAAAGTGCCCCATGTTATATATTATGCTAGTCGTACTCTTTCTGATGCTTAATTAAACTGCACTACCGCTAAGAAAGAGTTACTAGCTGTTGTCTTTACACTTGATAATTTCTGGTCCTACCTTCTAGGGTCTAAAATCATTGTGTTCATTGACCGCGCCGCATTACGGTACTTATTGTCCAAAAAAGAGACCAAACCTAGGTTGATTAGGTGGATTATACTCCTTCAGAAGTTTGACCTAGAAATTTAGGAAAAGAAGGGATCCAAGAATGTTGTTGCGGATCATCTATCTGGAATCCTTATTGAGCAAACGAGTGATCCCTTAGCCTTGCACGACTTATTTTCGGACGAGCAACTTTTTGCGGTGTCACAAGTGACACTCCCATGGTTTGCTCCCATAGTGAATTAGTTGGCAGTGGGGCGAATTCCTAAAACTTGGCCTGAACAAGACAAAGAACAATTTTTCTCACAAGTCTAGCACTATTTTTGGGAAGACCCGGAATTGTTCAAGTATTGTCCAGATCAAGTGATTCGGCATTGTGTTCCTGAGATTGAAACCCATCGCATTCTCACATTTTGTCACTCTTATGCATGTGGCGGCCATTTCAATGGGCAGAAAACACCCGCCAAGGTTTTACAACATGGGTTCTACTGGTCCTCTATCTTCAATGATGCCCATAACTTCTGTAGAGCTTGTGTGCGTTGTCAACAAATAGGCTCTATGTCACGACAAGATATGATGTTGATGACCCCTATTTTGATTGTTGAGATTTTTTATGTTTGGGGCATCGACTTTATAGGTCCCTTTCCACCATCTTTTGGATTTGAATAAATTTTGGTGGCTATGGACTATGTCTCCAAGTGGGTTGAGCCAGTGGCCACTAGAACGAATGGCCACAAAGTTATGGTTAAATTCCTCCAGGAAACCATTTTCGGTCATTTTGGGTTCCCATGTGCCATAATTAGTGATGGTGGCAAACATTTTTGCAATCGATTCTTCGAGGCATTGGTGTGGAAATACATAATCATTCACAAAGTTGGCACTCCTATCACCCCTAAACTAGTTGTCAAGTAGAGGTTTCTAATAGGGAAGTCAAACATATCCTTGAGAAAACTGTGAGGCCGATATGAAAGATTTTTCCACTAGATTGGTTGATGCACTTTGGGCCTATCGCACTGCATGTAAGACACCCATCGGGATGTCTCCATATAGGATTGTGTTCGGGAAAGCGTGTCATCTCCCTGTTGAGTTAGAAGACTGGGCTTTGTAGGCCATTAAGAAATTCAATTTTGAGATGGCCAAAGCCCTTAATGAATTAGAGGAGCTCCACAATGATGCATATGAGAACTCCAAAATTTACAAGACTAGGAGTAACGCATTTCATGATAAACACATTTCTCGTAAGTCCTTCGAGCCTCACCGAAAAGTGTGGTTATTCAATGTTAAATTGTAGTTATTTCTAGGTAAACTCCGATATCGGTGGGATGGCCCATATGAGGTTATCGAAGTATTTCGGCATGGGGGCAGTTGAGATTAAAAATTCACAAGATGGTACAACCTTCAAGGTAAATGGCCAAAGATTGAGACATTATGTAAATGGTATTGAGAGAGGAGAGATGATAATTGATTTTGTGAATGGGAAAAGTGTTTTTGGGAATAAGTGGTGTAACTTGTTGACTTGGAAAGTTTATGAAAGTTGACCTTGAAAATGAAAAATGAAATGTTAACTCTATGTGAGTTTCGGAGAATGAATATGAGAATTTAATTATTGTATCATGAGTGTTGAATACCCACATTTGTGGTTTTACCTTTACCTATCGTACTAGCGTTGTTGTTGGGTTTATGATCTCATGATAGTTGAGTCTTCTAATAGGTGTATTGAATACATGCATCTAGAGGTTTTGTCCTTGGTCATCGGTGGAGGATGACATTGTTGTATTGAATTGTTGTGTTTGCATTACACCGGTGTTGATTGAACATTGTACGTAATGAAGTGCTATGATATATTATATATGTATAATTGTTAGGGAGGAGATAGGTGATGTACTCCAGTATATGGGAGGAGATAGGGGATGTACTCCACACACCTAAGTGTTCATATACTTTAACACATTGCTTAGGTATCTTGAATAGTTTTTGTGTACGTATTACACTTATTGGTTGTGCTTTGTTATATTGAGATGGTTGGTGTTATATACCGCGCTTAAAATAAGGGGTACCAGTGCCTTCCAGCTAGTGCCTGGAGAACTTGGACTAGGTACCATTACCTTCCAGCTTGTGTCTGGAGAATATGGCTAGTCATTTGATTGTAAGGTGTATCCTTAACTTACCATGCTTATGGCAGGTAGAGTAGAGCTTTATTATTATTGTCTCAGTATACCTGAGTATATCATGGATTGCGATGGTTATAGTTTTGAAGGGCCGAGTTGCCTCATTTGTTGATTTTATACATGTTGATGATTTGTTATCACCTTTCTATTAAAGGCATGCATGTATAGATATGAATGTATTGGGAATAAACCAAAATGCAATTATGAGGTTTTGGGAAAGTGTGAAGGAAATTGGGTATTTGAAAGTATGTTTTGAAAAAGGGAAAACCTGTTGTAAGTATGGAAAATGGGATAAAAGTAATGGGCTTAGTGGAATTGTTTTCTAAGTTGTTATTGTTATGAAAGTTTGGGAACAAGGGGTAATGAAAAGAAAAGGAAGATGAATCGCTTATAATGTTGAATGAAACGGCTGTTTTCGAGAAAAGTTCATACCTATGTATATTTTGTATAAGCTGCCACATTACTATAGTAGTATGATATTGAGCATTCATGATCATAGCTATCTGTAAGTTGTTATTGTTGAGGATCATGTTGCGATCCCTACTAGACTATATGTTCATCCCACGTTGTTGAATCTTTTTCAGGTAATAAGCAGGATGTGCTACAAGATTTTGGATCTTCTTATTTGTTGGCCACGGGGCCTCTTTTATGTTGGCAGAATGCCATTATTGTAAAAGAGTTACACCCTTCTTCTTGATTCTTTTAAATAAATGATGTAAGCCTTCGGGCATTTTATTCAGTATGCTCATGTTGTATTTAATTTGCATTCGGATGAGAGAATGATTATTTATTTCTACTCATTGGACTAAAGAGTTTATTTCCGCATATTATCTCTGAAATTGAATTAAGTAATGAATTTGGTAACACTTCGAAGTAATAAAAAGTGGGGCGTGACAACACCGGGCTTTGTGGGCCATTAAGAAATTCAATTTTGAGATGGCCAAAGCTGCTAACCATCGAAAACTCCAACTTAATGAGTTAGAGGAGCTCCACAATGATGCATATGAGAACTCCAAAATTTACAAGGCTAGGACTAAGGCATTTCATGATAAACACATTTCTCGTATGTCCTTTGAGCCTCACCAAAAACTGTGGCTATTCAATGCTAAATTGTGATTGTTTCTAGGTAAACTCCGGTCTCAGTGGGATGGCCCATATAAGGTTATTGAAGTATTTCTGCATGGTGCAGTTGAGATTAAAAATCCACAAGATGGTACGACCTTTAAGGTAAATGGCCAAAGATTGAAACATTATGTGGATGGTATTGAGAGAGGAGAAATGATTGAGGTTGTCCACTTGACAGACCCAATATATCTTCCATCGTAATTGCTTTGTGTCTAGGAGACTTTGCATCCTCTAAAGGTGTAATTGATTTGGTGTTAGTCGTGTCCAAACAACATCTAACGGTCTGGTATAGCCACCTAACTATGTTTGTAGTGAGTTCCTAAGAGACCAACCAAGATAGCAGAAACTAGAGTTCGAATGACAAAGTTTAGAACACAAAGGTTTAGAATTTCCGAGACTAAAGTCTGCAATTTCAGTTACTCTTTAGTATAGAAGTCAGAATTCATTTCCATTGAATTTGCCTTTATTGTGGTAGCCTAGGAACATCATTATCAAGCTCATTAGAGTATTCTCTTGGCTATTTTATACTACAAAATTATAGAAACACACTCCATCAAACTCAATTATTGGCTAGTTACTTTAGTTGAATATTAAACCACTAACTACATGTAGCCAGGAAAAAAGAACTCAACAAATGAAATAAAGAATAAAGAATTTTATGAAAAATGTATTTGAAAAGATGATTAGCTAAAAAAAAAAAAATAGACTTTAGTTAAAATTTAACTAAAAATTTGACTATTTTGATGGAGATGCTCTAAATTAGTACCTTTTTTTGTCATATTTCATTGTTTCCATTTTTGTTAATTTTCGTTATATTTCCTTACTTTTTGTCTAGCTAGCTAAGGAACTGCCAATTTCGATTGTTTCCCAGTATCGTTCAGCCTGCTTTCCATTATAAATAATTATTGTAAGGCTTACAATTTCAAGTTTATACTCTTCTTTTAATCGTGAACATTCGTTTTGAATCAATCATTATTGAGCCTTTATTTCCAGTATTTTTTGTGAATCAAAGAGTTTATAGAACAATTTATTCTTGAATCAATGGATCCCAAGATCGACACCCTACTTTCTCTATTACATGTTTTTGGTACTACATCATATAGTATTTATTTTTGTATTTTGTTTGGACTATATAACAGTATTAGTCTGGTATACTCTGCTAAGGAAAAATAGCAATATTTTATTACTTTCATTGAATCCTTAGAGAGAAACACTACCATGGAACATTGACTTCATATGCTCCTCAAGGATTGGGAGGTTATGATTGTCATTATAGCAGTACATCAAAGGAACCATCCTTGCAGTATTAAGACAACCCTGGGTGAAATTGGCAGAAAATCGATTTGGAGACAGGCATTCCCGGTTGAGTCGCTTCCATGCATCTGAAATCATCTCAACAACTTGCTTTCTTGCGGTTTCAGCTGTGGAGCCCTCGTGCTCCTTCATGTAGCAATCTACATAGGATCCATCGTGACGGTCTTGATTCTCATCCTGTTAGTTTAAGTCCAAGCTTATATTAGAGCTAAACCGAATATAAATGGTTCATGTAAGGAAATGAAAATCTCTGCTAAGCACAAGCACTTTTTTATTTTTATTTTTAATTCTTTTTAAAAAAAAATATATTCCTAAGATGTTAAGAACTTTTTAGAAGGCTTGACATTGAGTGAACTTTTTATGATTGTCATTATGATTGTTCACATTGAACTTTGACAAATGGCCTCGGTGGGTGATGTTTCATACTTTTTGTTTCTCTAATGGTGCCCCTACTGTGGAGAATGGATTCCATGGACTCAAACACAAATAGGGTTTAATTCTTTTTAAAAAAAATATATTCCTAAGATGTTAAGAACTTTTTAGAAGGCTTGACATTGAGTGAACTTTTTATGATTGTCATTATGCTTGTTCACATTGAACTTTGACAAATGGCCTCGGTGGGTGATGTTTCATACTTTTTGTTTCTCTAATGGTGCCCCTACTGTGGAGAATGGATTCCATGGACTCAAACACAAATAGGGCCACCATTTTCTGAAATGCTTTCACAATTTCTTTTCCTTTTTGTGGAATCCATTCTCATGTTTATGGTGTCTACACAAATGGCTTTGTTTCATTATCAGGGGCCATGACAATTCTCATAGTTGTTATGGGGTCTGAATCAATGGCTCTGTTGGATTACATCATGTGACACCATTGAGCCAGAGTGTGTTACCAGCCGACACCGTCTACATCTGCTAGTGCCATTATCAGCGTAGGCCTTGCTAATGCCTCCTTGTAGGTCAGAATGTGGTCCACTAATTTACTTGATATTTTGGGGTGGTTGGCTTTACATTAGGACAACATTTTATCTTCATTTACGTGGTCCATGAAAATAATTTCTTGATAGAAAATGAACTTTGTGTTACCTTGGCACTTCCCAATCATCACACAGACGGAGAATTGTAGCGGTAGAGGTTATGATGCCAGGGTTGTCGATCATAAAATTGACACTTTCCTTGTTCATTCCATGACCCAAGAGAAAGAACATAGAACTAACACCGCGGGCACACCTGAACTAACAATCCCATTCTTCAAGTACTCTTCTGCTTTTGGCAACTGCCCTGAAGAAAACCATTTCGCTTCTTCTAAGAACGCGTTGCACAAAATTGTCCACTGCAACAATCAAGGATTTTGTTAAAGCCAATCCATTTGTAATTCTCACAAACTATCTCATAGAATCCTAAGTATGCACCTGACATAATTTGCTGGTAATATTATGATATACCGTTCTTCGCAGAGAATCAATGGGGTTCCAACCATACTTTGTGTGGACCCCATAGGCAATTTCGTTTGTGCTGTCATGAAGAACCTTCAAACAAATCTTCATATAGCTGGGTAGTTCGTTAACGGCTGCTAGTTCCCATCTGCTTCCAGTAACTACTGGTTAGTATTACAGAATTGAAAATTTTGAAGATGAATATAGCGATGACGATGATGGAGGAGATGCACACCTATTGACAGCCTCTATGAAGAGAATAAGTTCTTCTAGTGTGCCATAAACATCAAAAATGTCATCTATTATGTAGACAAGAGAGATGGGATTTGTGAGCTCAACTCTTTGCTCTGATAAGCTTGGGTCAGTGAGGGTTGCCATAGACCACAGGTACCATTTTAGTGGTTGGTTTCTTGCATACTTCAACTCCTCGCCCAAACCTGTGCTTTTCCACCATCTGAGATGAAAAAACCATACATAAGCAGTGAATAATCTCTGTTTTTAAACGGTCAAGGATCTTCTGCACTAAAAAACCTTGTCCATCGGATCCTTTGACTGGGAGTATATTAGGAACAGTGGACATGAATTTTCAGGACAAAAAATCATAAGTCCTTTTCAACACACTTAGCGTGTGTTTGGATCTTGAGTTCGAGTAGAGATTTGTAAGTGTTAAGAATAGAGAAGAGAGAAGTGCCAAAAAATGGCCAGGGATCTTCTGTCTTCAAAAACCTTGTCCCTAATACACTTCCAACCTAACAATTTGACGTGAATCTCAAAATACTAAAATCTTGAGGCACGATCATGCAACTAGAAGTACATTAGGGACAGGGGCACATGAATTTTAAGGACAGAGAATCCTATGCCCTCTTGAACACGCTTAGTACCACAATTAAAACAAAATTAAAGCCAAACTTACTTGGAAACTTGAAGCATTTCCTTCTGGTACACGGACGGAGACATATTGAAATCCATTTTTGCTAGTTCTTGCAGGACATTTGCATTGGGGCCATTGTAATCACTGAGGAAGTTCTTGGCCATGAACTTTGCCAAGCTCTTATGTTGGGGATGCCTTAGTGTGATGCTGATAACTTTGGCTTGATGATGATTATCAAGACGTGTCAACCACCCATTAAGTTGTTGGGCACTGAAGTCTGCAGCTTGATCAAGTAGGTCTTCTCCTTCTATGCTTAGCTAAGATGCTTCATATAATCCCATTAACCCTCTAATGTCTTCACTTAGTTCTGTTTGAACCTTCCGTCCTTGTCCTTGAACTTGTCAAACACAGCTGTTCCAATACCAACCAACTTGTTAACTACTGTAATGAGGATGATTGTGGATAAAAGAAGAAATTATTGCTCTGTTTGTTGCAACAGGAAATATTTTCTGAAAAACGTTTCTTTTTTCTTTTTTTCCTCTAACATTTAGTATGGAAGGAAATGAAAATCTACTCAAAAAATTTTCTATGGTTAGCGAAAAATAAGTTTATTTGGACGAAAAATATTTTCTACTTTAGAAAAGAACAAAGTGTTAACCAAACAAATTTTACCATCACCATCACCCACACATCTTCCACCATCACAACCACCACCCCATTAACACTTCCACCACCAATACCACCACCACCCCACCCCCACCACCATCACCACTACCACCATGCCAACACCACAACTAGCGTATTAATTTCAAGGCGACAATCATACATAGGAAAACATTTTGTACGAAAAATATTTTTATAAAATGTTTTCCACAAGAAATGAAAATCCACTGAAACACACATAGTATATACACCAACCTGTGGGCACATTGTAGCCTTGTTGCCTCAACAGATGGAAGCGAGTCGAAACCTCATAAAGATCGTCATGTTGATCAGTAAAGCTATGGCTGCCAGAATTCATATATTGGCTGTGTAAAACATTTTCAATATCCTCCCGGAAGTGGTAATTAATGCCTAGACGTTGGAGGGCATCGATCATGACCAGACCTTTTAGTGAGTCTTCTTCTTCTACAACTTTTCTTAACACACTCCTAACTTCCTCCAATTGTTGTTCTTGCTTTGCTGAAATTTCATCCTGCAATCAGCTCCTAGAAAATCAGTATTTCAAAGTAAGGAATTATCATAAAAGGAGCATCTTCTCTCTTATTCAGGTGGTTCAGTCAACAATTTCAAAAAAGTAACGTTTAGTATGATTTTGAAAATGTATTGTACGTCCATCTAAAATTGTGTGACTACGGATATCCATCAATTTGAATTTTATTCATTTATTTATTTATTTTAGTAGTTTAGGCAAGATATTATGAGATCAATGGCTTGGATCATCAAATTAGAATCCGTGGTGGACCCACAGGCCAGAGACCTCCTCTCCGGCCCATACCCATGTACACGGAGATGAAGATGATTATTGCAGTTAGTTAGCATCCTGGCCAGAGGCTGTGTACCTCATTGAAAGATCACGAG